TTGTCAGCTCATAGAAAAGACAAACAAAAGCGGGTTTGTTGTTTCACTATGCAAGAAAATATCTAAAATTTCCATCTGTAAGAGGACTGACATTTTTTGAAAAATCTGGATATGGACTGCTTTCGTCAAATAATAATAATAAAATTTAATGCGCTTCAAAAATGCAATCAGGTGAGCGACAACTGTTTTCTGTACTCAAGAATCCAAAAAGTGACTGCAGGCAACGTGAGAGATTTTCAGCTCAGAAATTACATCAGTTGGGAGGTGAACTTTACAAGCTGCAACGAAACAGAGAACGACATCTAAAAAGATAAAAAAATAATTGAAGGCAGTGTTCAGCAGAATTTAATCAATGCACCGACATCTGAGTGTAATCTTTTGTTTATTTGACTAAGATGAAAAGCCCCTCGACCAACATGGAAACCAGCGTGAAACTCTTGATATTTTTTTGAAATCATCTTCCGCACTGTTCCTCTTTCTCGATAATTCATGCCACTTATGTCTGTCTGCCGAAAGGAGTAGCCAGGTTTGAGATTGAAGTGAAAGTGACTTTGACAGAGCAGTCGACGACGCAGCAGTTGCTGGTCGTTTTGATGTGCTCAAGCGCTATGCTGGTACTTGGAATGCCCGGATTTTCATGTGTGTTGGCCATCTGGCATTCTTTCTGCAACGTTGTTGTTGTTGTTGTTGTTGTTGATACTGTTGGTGACAAGTGCTTGCTTGAGAAACACATTGTCACAGTGAAAGAGGTGTGCCGCACTTGACGACCGACTACAAATCACAATCTTACTCTTTATAATGAGAAGTATTCAACACACAAAGACGCAAGGAGCCAGTGAAAATCTTTACGACTTCAATGAGCCCAGTTGCGTTGTATAACACATATTTGATAGAGTTTGCATGATGATATGAATAGTTAATGCAATATAAATGTGGCGCTGTGGTTAGAGTGCTTTGCAGCGCACACAAGGTCGATGGTTCGATGTCGCGCTTATCGTTCACCAACCCAGTCATCCATTTGGGCTTGGTAAATTGGTACCAGACTGGTCTAGGACTTGTCTGGGAGAATAAGCAGCACTGATCTGATACCGCGAGATGTCACCGCAAGTCATTGTAAAGGCCACATACGCATTTAGTGACCTCAAACGAAGCAATAAATTGAAGAGGAATGCACGGTGCGTTCCTCAGAGATATGAACGCCGAGAGCTTTATCCTTAATTTTTTGAATACATGTCAAACAAGAGCTTTGATTTTTATCCCCTTCTTCTTTCCCTTCAAGATTTATTCAGGTCTTGGTTCAAATGTGTGAAGCTCAGGCTAACTTGCTGCACTAGGAGAGCAGTTATCGAACGGCACTGCGGGAAAAGTAGTGTGCAATTTTGATGAACGACGTGTCTTCTATTCGTTTTGTCACAAAGAAAAAAGGGTGAAGCATTTAACCTCGATCTCTCCTTAAGTGGTGGACCATCATTTGGCTTCATCAAATATCATTAGAAGTGGTAGAATGCGAATGTGGCTTATATAACGTCATACGGCAGATTAGTAATCTAACACGCCAGTACTGCTACCCTTCCAGACATCTCTAGTATAGATATGCCGGCCATAAAATCATGAAAGTTTTAAGCAGGCCTAGGTGTGAGATCGACCAGCGACCACGTATGTATTGAAAAGAATTTAACGTGCACCACATATCTATGCGATTACTATGGTACTGACAAACGCTAATCATGATAGATACAGAACTAGACATAATACTTATGAATGAAAAGATTAAAAGAATCTTCGAAGGAAATTCGAAAGCTCGCGATGCTCAGTAGAAAATAAAAAAGCGGCGCAGCATTGTTTGACCGTAACAACAAAAGCCGACTTCACCTGATCCACTCAATGACAGCCTAGTTCGGCTGATTGCCACCTCTCGTTGTGATGGAAAGCTATCAATTTCTAAAAGGAAACCATATATTCGGAGTGGGAAAACGATTTATTGCATTGATACAATTTTGTACAACTTCTCAAAACATATGTCCTTGAACCTATTTACTTCCACCTATACAAGGAAATGACAGCGCACTGGTTAATGATTCACGCTATCAGACACCAAGGTTCGTTCACTTAGTCCAAGTAATCTCCACAGTCCGCATGAAAGCGTCTCAGCTCGATATTACCATGGTAAGAAGATTCGTCTCAATCAGTATACAATTAAATTAATATACATGACAAAGTTCCCAAGCAGGTGCCAAAACAGCAAGAGGAGTGTTTGAGCACTTTTGGGAAGCGTGAATGCGAGGAAACGAATCACATGCGAAAATGTACAAATCTGGGAAGTGAAATGTAATACTTGGTCATGTAAAAACGCTTTTATGCGATAAATCGTCTTCGAGTATTGCAATATGTTCATACTTTCTGCTGTGCCTGTTCCGTAGAGAAATTGCACAGAGCATCCGTAAATTTGAGCGGAAGCTGTTTACCCCTATAATGCAGCTATAAAGAGACGTTGTGAAAGAGGCAGTCATGCTAATGGTCTCTCATATTATATTCCACCCGGCTACTGCTTTTACATGATATCATGTTATCAGATTATCACATTGCTACCGCTCTTACTGATATGTTTTTCCTTAATCAATACATATATTAATACTTGTTAAAAGAGAATTTGAAGACAGATGACAGTGTTAGAGAGGACACTTGTGTCTGTAATATCCTCACGAAAAACGGTCACGCATCTTTTTCCACTGAGATTGAAAAGGGGAAGCAAAAATTGAAATCTACTCATTGCATGAATAGGTTAGGAGTTACGAGAGCAAAACAGCGGTGTGAAAAATGCATCACGAAAGCCGAAAACATGCTGGTGTTCTGGATAAGAGGACATATTCCCACTTAATCAGTTTCGTGGATAGAAGTACTCTGTGGGTTAAAGAATCACCCGGCTCTGTTCCTTCGATTAGATCCAAAATACAGCACTTAAATGTCCTGCGTTAAACAATCGCAAACATTAGGGGTGACGTCGAACGGATATCACGTTGATTGTAATCAGGCGTTCTTTCGAAGACATGTGTTCTTTCGAAGACATGTGATGTGAGGACTTCTTTCTCGGAACAAAGACATGCATTATGTAGGGCATTTTTCAAAGTGATGAGAGTCTGCTCGGAAAAACCTGTGTAGTAAAAATATGACTCAGGGCATATTGACAAAGTATCTACACATCGCTGCTCTGATTTCAAAAAAGAATTTGAAAAACAAGTTTTGTAGAAAAAGTCTTGACTAGAAGAAAAGATTATTGGTTGATACTTGACATAGTGCAATGTTTCATTACCAGTATATGGGACTATAGGAGGAAGGCATTCAATCTCTACTTACCAAATAGTCGCAGATCATTGACTATGATGATGATTAAATTGCTGACCATCTGATTTTTTCAAATTAATAGCATTCAAATCAGCAACTGTTAACAAGGTAATGAGGCGGAAGAAGTTTTCGGGCAGCGTAACAGAGAAAATGAGATTTTGATGCTTTTAGTGTAGATATAGCAAGTGCTCAGAGTGCAACACTTTTCACGTTAGAGTCATCTACAAAAAGAAACATAAAATATATCTAAGAATAAATTTCGCATTTTGTTCCAAAACTTAAGTTCAGAATGAACAAATCTGTGGATTCTCCGGATAATTCTAGTTTCCGAGTATAATCAACTATGGAAAACGCAAAAAGCAAAGATAATATAGGGCTTCAACCGAAATTTATGCAAAAGAAAATACTTAGAAAACAGCCTGATGATATCAAGTTTGTCACCTGTTATTTCCGGTACTTTAACTCAAAATGATAAGAGTTGCAACGTAGAAGAATCAACGACACTTCACTCTTGACAAACTTTCCTTAATAGATGGGAAATAGCATAACTCACACCTTATAAGCCAAAAAAATTTATAGGCTAAACAAGTTTTGGCATTTTGTGTAGTGAGAAACAAACGTGGAAGATGAGTTAGCAATATGAGCGAACCGAGAAAAAATGAAAAAATGAAGAATTTTCCCGCACAACCTAATCATAATGGGCTTTGAGGAGCGGTATGTATGATTGTTCAAGTGATCTGAGAAACAGGCATACTCAAAATGTGTTTAAGTGAACAGATTTGCTGTGAGTATTCATTAACTTGTGTTCAAGGGCATTCGACGAAATGAAAACGACAAATGGTGTCAGCAAAAGGCGGCTTGTCATGTTATTATCCAACACCGATGCATCATCTAGCCTTCACTCGCCTTATCCCTGTTGCTTGCGTCAAATGAAACGTTCTTAACGTTAGCAAAACGATTTTGAGTAGAACAATTAAGATTTATAGATGAGTTAGAGGGGCTTGAAGAAGCTCATATAGCACATAAAAGATCGATGTTCATGCGCGGAAATTTCTCCAACCTATAAGAGAGATCAGAGTAGGAGAAAAACAGATATTAGCTCACACACGAGCCTCTCTCAAATTTTGCTGGAAGCTTTCTGTGAAGGAAGCTGTAGATTTCACGCTGAATACTTTAACATAGAGAAAAGTCCATCTTCCATTTTTGCTTGGAATATTGAAAACAGCTCGAAACTCTAGCGAAAACGACCTCGAGATCTTTAGTCCTCTAATCATAAGATGTCACGGCGATGAGAGCGCAACGTTATCCCGGTGGCAGTTGCTGACGGATGACTTGACGGCTGAAGAACCTTGGGAAGTGTCAAGTGCTGTGGATGTGAGCACATGCTAAGGGTGCAGAGCACCAAGAGCACATTTAGAGACACTCAAGAATTTATGATACTATGTGCCATGAGGAAATACATCATTGAATGTGACAGCGAATAGAGGGAATGAAAGATCCTCAGACTATAAGGCAAATTTGGAAGACCTAATTTTTCAGCGGTCAGTGGTGTTTTTAATAAAAAAGAAGCATTAATCAAAATTCTCTCAGTTAATCGCGTATTGCGGTGGTACGATGTTGCAATGAACCCAATAATGTAGAGTGGTGTGCAAAAACATTTGCATCAGCCGGGATTCCAACCCAGATCTCACTCTTTCCGGGAGCGCGTGCTGAACCGTTGCAGTACTGTGCAGTGCACTGCGGTAGTAGTGGACCGGTTCAGCACGCGCTCCCGGAAAGAGTGAGATCTGTGTTGTCCCGGCTGACGCAAATGTTTTCGCACACCACTCTACATTATTGGGTTTATAGAAATATTAATTACCGCTATTTCTTGGCTCAGCTCCAGCAGATGTTGATTTGGACGACGGACAACGTCATTAATCCACCGCTCAAACAGTGGACCTATCCCAGCATCTCATTAATATGTTCTAAAAGTTCATAGATAAGAGCGGTTTAATTTTTGGAAAAAAAAGACGGACAAGCACTCGCGCTGTTTGGTGAAATATTTTTCAAGAAAAAAGTACCTAACTGAGGAGGGAAAAAAGGACAAAAATCAAGAAGAGAGAAATCAGAACTGACAAATTTCCCTTTAAAAAATGTATTCACGAGTCTATTTTCCAGCACAGATCGCTCTTGTCTATGGGTTTCCAAGGTAATTTGATTCAACTCATTGTTTCAGCTTTCATGAAATATCATGGGAACATTTTTGAGAGGAAAATGATGAGGTAATTCTTGCTCAATTCTGATAAGCTTTACCTGTCAACATGTTTATAATGTTACGTGACATTGCGTACTGCGCTTTTCTCAGCACATATTCCATTCAGTTCAGTGTCTTGTAATCATCAATTACATTAACTACCAAAGGTCCTCGAGTATGCGTCTAAGCTCAATTTCCTCCTGAGACTTCATCTACTTCACAAATACCACAATGCCGTTAGCTTTCTAATTCTTCATTGGAAGCAATTATCTGCCTTTGTGGTTCGGAGAAGTTTTTCTCGAACAAGTCCTACATAAGAGAAGGCTTGATTCTTCGGGAATGCGTCGGACCCACATATTACACGACATCTATAACAACCACTGCGTTTATTACTGCTTGTTTGACTACGTCGGAGATTATTGAGCAAAGACGCGCAATAAATCAGAATTTAAGCGCAGAGCCTCTTGGGACGCAATGTTTGGAAAACTTGCAAGCGAAGCAGAAAGGAAGAATTTTCCCTCTCATAATTGCTGAGAATTATATTTTGCCACGAGTGAGGACAAAATTTAGCTGAACCGAGTTCTAAATGGCATCGCTCTAATCTCAGCAGCAATATTAGTGGTCAAAAAATATGGCCTTACTCATTCTCGGCATTCGATTTTGATTTATATTTACATAACCAAAGTCATTTATTCCACTCATGTTGATCTCATGAGAACGGGGCGAATGCGACCAAAAAAGAAACATTTGTTCGCAAGCTTCTCATATATAGCTATAGAAAGGCTAAAAGGGGGATTAAGCTCTCGGCGTTGATCAATCTGTAAGGGATGCCACATGCATTCGTTTTCGACGCAAAGTTCGAAACTGTAGGAAACAGCTTGGAGGATCGACCGCGCTCGAATCATCCACAGAAAGTTCAGCACCAAGCTGTTCCTAAGACGGTCGAAGATAATTCCTTGATGACATGCCAAATGCTAGCCGAAGAGTTTGATAGTTTGTTCAAAATCATCGCGAGCATTCTGCAGGATCTGCGTAAGGTCTGAAAACGTATCATCTCCCTAAGCTCCATTAACAGATCATATGTACCGTTTTAAGTACATATCGTGCGCTGTGCTCACGGCGGGCTGCGGCTGGTTCGTATCATCACGCGCTCTCATGGAAATAGAAATTTATATGTTGACTGAGTGTTTGAGGGCACACTGTCAGCAGATCACAAAGGAGACTTCTATAGAGAGCTTTCTTGGTGAAGGAAACGTCCATTTGTCTGAAACACACTCTATGATTCAACGAATGAACCACATCTTTTGGAAAGCAAACTTACTTTTGGCTGTCACATGACACTTTATTTTTCCATTTTGGTTTATGTTTTTGTAGTCTCTGTAGCTTTAAAGATGCCTGCCTTACACTAAGCTTGATTTATCAAAGAACTTCTATATTACATTCTTCTAAAGAAGAAAAAAAGATAAAGTTGAGCTTCCGAAATGCGTTGTTCCAGTCTCAAAGTTGATTTTTTGGTATTATGCACTAGAACTTTGATGTTAAGTAGACTTTTCCGCTATGAAAAATTAGACTATCATTGGCTGCGCTTCTATAAACGTATTTTTAGTATAAAGAACACTCTGTTGCCTTGATAGTCTACACTCTTGATGACGAAGGGCGCGGATGAGGGCAATTATGTGGAAAAAGCTTGGGGTTCCTTCCTTTTTCAAAAGAGCTCCTTCTTCAAATGATAAAGATCATTCGATAGCTTGAAAACTGAAGATTTAGCAATGAGCTTATTATCTGAATGTACGCAGTGATAACTGAAAAGGGAATTACGCTTTGCTTTGGAGTGAGCCGTCACAACTTTGCAGCGAATTTTTTGAGACTATATCGTAAACTTTGATTCTAAGAAACCTCGACTTGAATGAAATATTACAGATGAGACTTCTATAAACATTCTTGCAGTGAAGAAAATTACCATGTATTGAAATATCTATGTTTTAACGAGAAAGCCAGCCACCTTGTCGTGAAAGTCATTAAAGGAAAGATCACTTATTGGTGAAACGCTTTTTTTTTTGCATGCAGAGTGCCTACGTCTTCCAGTAATCCCCACCTTTCAAGTCAAAAGGTATATCTTTGGAAAAACCATACTTTCAGTTCACATTGTGCACTCCTATCGCCCAATTCATATTAATTTAACGAAAACACATGATCCACAGTCTGCAAGACGTAGAAGGAATACAAATGAAGGGAGTTTGAGTATTCAGCTAGAAAAAGGAGAGCACTTCCATAGAAAAGTACATTTACAATGTACTTCCTGCTTTTTCAGTAGAGTATTAGAAATCGTTCGATGGCTAAAAATTGAGATCTCAGCACCATGCTTGGTTTATGAAAAGACTTTGTTTTTACGAAGTAATCACCTGTATCATCGGTCGCCCCGTTGATCGTCGAGTGACTCTAGCGGGCACCAGCATCACTTTCATTTTTCCCTATCGCATGCAAGAGAAGCCCAGTGGGTCCTCCTAGCTATAGGGATTCGCTAAGCATCATATCTTTTTTCTATGCCTTTCGTGAAGATCGGACCATCGGGTCGGTGGTCTTCTTGTAGAGCGCTTGATATCTCGAAGAATCCAGTAGGTAACAGCTCTCATCCATCGGTTTTCCTTAAGGCGCATCACGTGTCCGGCCCACCTTATTTTCGATATCTTGGCGTATAGAACGGCGTCTCTGATTTTCGATCGTTGACATAGGTCGGATCCTCGGATCCTTTCTCTCATTTGCGAGATACTAGAGACTCCTAGCATCGACCTTTCGACTACGCGTTCGATAACGCCAAGTGATCTTTCATCCTGTTTATATAGCCATCAAGTTTCTGCTGCATACGTTAAGGAAGGATGATTGTCGAGTCGAAAAGGTGGGCACGCAGTCGGATGTTCTTTGTCCTCTTCACTACATCTTCGATGCTCTTAAACGTTCTCAAAGCCGCTCGTTTCCTCGTGTTCAAATTGAAGCTAGGTCGTTCATCATGCTGGTTTCACAACCAGGATAGACGTAACTGGAGCATTCCGAGACTGTCGTTTTGTTGAGCGTGATGGGGCATTCGAAACCCATCCGCTCCTCATGAACATCGTTTTCGCTAGATTTAGTTGAAGACCAATCTTTCCACAGGCGTTATCGAAATCATTCAACATTTGTTTCGCTTGGCTGATATTTGGTGTTGTGAGGACGATATTGTCAGCAAAGCGAAGATGATTTAATTAACGACTGTCAATTTTCACTCCCATTTCGTCCCATTCTAATGTTCGCATGACGTTTTGTAGGGTGGCAGTGAATAGTTTTGGCGAAATTGTATCGCCTTGTCAAACCCCTCTTCTTACGTTAATGGTGATATTGTTGTAGAATGGAGATGTTTTGGTCGTGAAATCTTTATAAAGCTCACGAAGGACCATTATGTACCGAGTAGGGACGCCCTGGTTATTCAGAGCCTCTAAAACCGCTCCTGTTTCCACTGGAATCAAAGGCTTTCTTGAGATCGATGGAAGTGAGACAGAGTGGTTGTTTGTACTCTCATGAAACTGTGCTAAGTCTTATAATCGTGTAGATGTGGTCTACGGTACTGAATCATTTTCGGTGCCCTGCTTGTTCGCATGGCTGCCCTTCGTCCAGTGTTCTGTCAATCCCGTTTAGGAGGACTCGAGTAAAGAGTTTATAGACAACGGACCAAGCAGATTGGGCGATAATTGCCTGTGTCGTGAAGATCTCCCTTTTTGAACAATAAACGGTCTTGCTGGTTTTCCATTGAATGGGTCCTTTCATTCTGACAGGTAGCGAGTGATAGAGCCGAGCCAGGGAGCTGATGAGAACTGGCGGCAGGTTCTTCAGTGTTCTGGTCTAATCCTGTCTGGACCGGGTGTTGTTCTGCTCTTCAATGACGATATAGCATGTCGGATTTCAAAAGGGAGGACCGGTGGAACGACATATTTATCCTCTTTCAATTTGTATGACAGTAAGAGGACATGACTAGCGAAGAGATCCGAGTAGTGTTGATGGACGATTTTCTGCGTAGCCCTTCTGGAAGCTGTAAGTGTCCCATCAGGACACCGGAGTTCAATCACCTTGGCCTTATAATTGGCGAATCTCTTCCCAGCTTCTGCAGCTTCTGCAATAACTGCTGCTCGTCTCTCTTTGGGGTCATCTTTTACGCTTCTTTGCAGCGTTTCGCACGTTCGGACGTAATATTTCAGTTGTCTGTAGCTCGCGCGTTTCCACGTTAACGTATCACCTCAAGCGTCTGCGCAGACAAACGTCTCTTCATGACCTTGAAACTCTCAGCTTTCATAGCGCTAACGTGAAGATATTCAACGTGCCGATCGTATTCTTCGTCGATGATGTCGACAACGGCATCTTGCAAAGAGCCGACTAATGATTTGAATACATCTTAGTTTAAGGTAGTTCTGGGACTTCGTTGTTTGAATTTAGCGGCTTTCTCTCCTCTCCGTGAAGAACGGAACGTT